ATAAATATATATACATATATTTTTTGCTGGGAATAAATATTTTTGCATAAAGAACTACATTGTAAATTCCAGGTGGAGGTAACAGTGTCAGGATGGAGAGCGGGAGCAGACCAAGGAATGGCAGTTCCCCAAACTGCTCTGTAATGAATTAAGCAGGGGGCACTGTCCTCACAGCACTTCCTGTTTTAGAGCTGTCAGAAGTGGGCTTAAGTGCCAGTTACACAGGTTATCTTGTGCTTGATCATCTGTATTGGAGGGTATGGGAGACATCTGAGGTCTAATAGACCCCAACTGTTTCTATAAAGAGAACCTGTTACCTCCAAATGCTATCACAAAGGGATTTGTTAGCCCTTGAGTGATATCAATAAAGTTAAGTGAAAAAAATGTAAAATGTAAAAAACAAAAGAACAAATAAAAAAATTTAAAAAACCCAGCTGCCCCCGCCATCTGCATGCAAAGTAACATTGCCATGTAGGGCATGCACGTGTATATAAATGACAATTTTGCCACATATGTTGGGTAGACATGTGCGATGCGGAAAAAAATTGTTTTTTGGAAACATTTTCGTTATTCGGAGATTCGAATGTATCCGAAATTCTGAATAACAGAAAAGACGAATTAAAATGATTCTGAATTTCCAAAAACAAAATTTCAGACAAAATTTGTTAGCGGTACTCTGGACGTATTTTCGTTTGTGGCCGAATTTTCGTTGGAGTAAAGGGATAATTTAAAAAAATCTATATTTTTTTTAATGTCACTTTGCTGCAATGAAAAAAAAACGAAACGCTAACGAAAATTCGTACAGACTACCGATAACTAATTTAGTGCGAATACGAATCCGAAACGGATTGACTTTCGGACCGGAATCCCGAAAAACGAAATAACACACATTCCGAATCAAAACTAAACTATTTTTTTGCCAGTGCACATGTCTAATGTTGGGTATCACCATGAACAACGGAATGAGAACAATCATTCTAGGGCCATAATTTGCTGTTAACTCTAAAGCAGTTAAGGCTTCTAAATCATCACCTATGAACAATTTTGAAAACCATAGTTTTTTTACCATTGCTCAGGTGCATGCATGACATGTTTGATATCTATTTACTTGATGTGACCCCATCTTTTATACCAAAACACTGAGTATTATATTGTATTTGTGTGCCCTAACCTAGTATTTTTTTCCCCCTAAACATATAAAATGTATAAACATTTGTGCAAATATCGTGCAACATAAAAAAAATGCAGCAGTCCTTTTTTTATTCTACATGGCCTCTTCTTTCAGCAATTTTCTATACAAAAATTCCTATTTTAGCATGTGTGTGCAAACATTGCTCTGGTACTAAGGTGGTTAATGTAAGGATGTCACAAGCTTAGTGTATTTAACAACACATTGTAAAAAATCCAGTAAACAGATACAAATATTTAGGGATTGGCTGATTTTCTTTTCCGCCCAAACTAGGGGGCATGTTAAGGTTGGCCCCTCTCCAAGTCCAGGCACTAAAAGGATGTCATTCTGGACTCATGGCCTATTCACCTGTAGACTTCAGAGCTCTTTGCAATTGCCTCATTATTCAGCGTTGAAAACAACTGCATGTACTATGCTAAGGTGGAAAGGCTTTTTGAGCAAGGTAGTAAAGTTTCTGGCTGTTGCTTTCTACTTGTTGGGAATCACTTCTGAGAACTAGGATGCAAAAATGTGTGTATTTTCAGCCATCAATTTCAAGCTGATTTTATTGAATATTATTTTAGTGGAGAACACAAAAGTTGACAGCACATCTGCAAATCAAAAAAAATTCTCAAAACCATAACAATCAGAAAAAAATTACATTCCTAAAATAAAAACAGTAGATAGGAAGCCTTACTTAGAAAATTTTTTTTTAAAGGTATTGCCATAGCAATTTACATGTTCATGCATTTCCTGTTTCCTGGCCATTAGAGTAAATGAAAAGGACAATTTTGTTTTTTTTTACAATTTTTGTTCTCTGATGGAGAAAACAAGGCATTGTTGAGCTTTTTTTAAACTATATTCTATTTACCACTGCTTCTCAAAAATATATGTTTCTATATGTTTTTCCCTTTGTCTTGGAAACTTTTGCTTTGACTTTGCATTTGATAAGATGCCATTTTATCAATCAAGTTCAGAGACATCTAGAATTAATCTATGACTTGTTAAAGGCAGAAAATGCTTAACTGAGTACTTTTTAAAAATACAAAACACAATACATTTACTTAGATACCTCCAGCGGGTTGGCCAGCCTATGTAACTATAAACAGTTCTGTCTGATTTAATACATCAATTGTAATAGCTACAGGATTCAATGTATAATCCACTAAGTAGTCTCATGCACTATATTGTCTCCTTACTCTGGTCTTCAGAACTTATAAGCAATGCATGTTTTCTGGAACTGTAGGTAGGACCACAGGTACTATACATTTTCTACATTTTTATAAAATACAACTGATTATTTTGCATGTAAGCTGGCACTAGCTGGTGTCTACTGTGATAACCTTCTAAGATGCACTGTTGCATTGCTTGCTTATACACTGTAAGATGCACACTGTATTACCTTGCAATGACAAACAGGACACAGCTCACTCCAAGGTAGGCAAGGAGGATGTACATCCAGATGTCAGGAGACAGAGGGTTCAAGAAGGAAAAGACACTGGGACTGGTACCATTGGCCTTTCTGTACAGGATACTAATTCCAAGGGTCATGAATGGTTTTGAGAAATCGATTACCTTCTCTCGGACATGGGTGATGGTGAGAGGAGCAACTGCCAGGTCAGCTTTCTGAAACAGATAAAAATAGATAAAAGGCTATAAAATGCAGAAACTGTAGAATCTGACATGTTCAATGAAGCAAAAATTCAGCAGCATGTGTAATACAAAATTGTCAATATTCCTAAACTTTCTGACCTTGTTCCTGATGTATCCAATCTGAAAGTTCCATCACTACAAACAAGCACTCAAACTCATGTCTTCTACTATTTCCGGATAATTATATACAGTATGGGGGGAATTTATCAAAACTGGACCAGCCAAAATTTGGAGCAGCTGTGCATGGCAACCATTCAGCTTCTCTCTTCAGTTTGGTCAGTTAAGATTTTAAAATGAAAGAGAGAAGCTGATTGGCTGCCATGCACAGCTGTTCCAGATTTGTCTGCTTCAGTTTTAATAAATCCCCTTCTATGTGTTTTATGAATAAGATTTTTCAGTTTGAACCAAGAGATAATGTAAAACATTTGAAATATCTCTAGTCCAAAATTTTGGTAGTGTTCATAGAGATGCATACCTATTGATAGCTATACAAGTCCAAAACTGGTTTGCACACTGATTTAAAGGAATAAACATGTCACAGAGTGATACATCATATTTATCCATATTTTAGATATACCCTTTAGATATACCTTTGCAAAGCAGTTACAGCATTCACAGTTACAGCAAGGCAAGTGCATTTGAAACAGATAATGTCAGTCCACAGCAAAGTGCCAGTTTCTGTTGAAAGTCACTTCATCAAAACAGTGCTTTAGAAAGTAGGTTGCAGCTCTCATGGGGGGCTTGTAATAAAATCATGTTGATTTTATATGTGATCTTACATGAAAAATGTCTAAAGAGAGATCACCATTCCTTGTCTTGTGGTGTCATTAAACTTCAGGTCAAATCACTGCATCTTCATATCAGTTCCTCTGTGATCTGGTTTTTAAGATTTTTCTGCATGTTTCCTAAAAATCAAACCTCATAAAACCAAAGAAAAATGAACATGCTTTTAAAATCGTGACACATTTACAAGGCCTCTAAACTTGAAATACAAGTTGCTCCAAAACTAACAGCACTATGGCAGGTCAGTAATTCTCTCTTACTTTTTGATGGAATTAACCTAAATTCAGTTAGAAAAGACTCCTGTGGCAGCTTAGTCCTTGTGGTGACAGGTAAATCATTACCGCCTGACCTAATGAACTGGTAAAAAGGTCCTTTGGACTCTTTACCCATTTGCAACACTGAAAACACATTTTCTTTATTATTTTCATATAACAACTCCCGTTTTTCACTTTGCTAAAAAAAGTTCAAATAAAACCTAAGCAGTGATCTTATTTTACTGTGTACCTTGTCATGTACTCTTCCTGTAAAAATATTCCAGGGCCATCAGTGTGGGGCTCTCCTAGAATCTCACATACCAGTAGTACATTATTAAAATAACTAATTTTACAGCTGGAGATTTTAACTATACAATGAGGACACATAAGAAAGAATATCAACTATGCATATTATTTTTTATATTTTAAACAAAAGTAAGGGACTGGTGGAACATTGTTGATTCTTAAATGTTTTTTAAGGAAAAAAAGCGAACAAGCAAACGGACCAAAGAATTTGAGACATTAAAGTATACCTGTACTTAAACACTTAAATTCAATATGTTGTGTTTTTCCTGTAATTTAACAAAATTTAATCCTTTAAATCATGCACCATGAGTGTCAAACCCCCGAGGTGAGTGAGGAATAAGGTATTTGTACTTACCCCCCCCCCACATCCACAGCTAAACTAATAGATTACCCTTGCAATGTGCAGGAAGGAGGGTGGGGGGTGGAAAAAAGGGCAAATTGCATGGGTACATTTACTAGTACTTCAACAAGTACAGTATACTTATTGTACAAGGTCCTCAACTTGTTTATTTTAAACAGGTCATGAATAAACATGTGCAATTTGTATAGTTCCAAATTTAAATTCATATGAATTTCTGTAAATTCGGGCATTCAGATGTATTTGAATTTCTGAATGACGGAAATAATTAATCTGAAGGAATCCGAATGTTTGATAACAAAATTCGGATACATCCGAATTTCATTTGGAAACAAAACACAACAAGTGGGAGATCTGTAATTTACCGCTCTCTGGCTTCCCTGTATTTGTATCTCAAATGAAAACAAAGTAAAACAATATTGTTACAAAATATAAAGAAAGAAAGAAGCTGAGAGATCTGTGTTATTCTGTAAAAGAATCTGACAGCTGTCACAGAATACACAAAAGTGTTTAACTGTTCACAGAAATAATAATAACAACTTTAAAAAAACAGAGTGGGGTTCCCCCCAATTCCTACCAGACCCTTTAGGTCTGGTAGGAATGTTAGGGGGAACCCCATGTAATAATTAAAAAAAACAGCGTGCAATTTTCCTGCAATTCATATGAGACCCTTTAGGTCTGGTAGGAATTTTAGGTGGGAACCCCAATGCCAAAAAAGTGAAAAATAATAATAATGGGGTACCCCATAAAATCCCATACCATACCCTTAATTCGGGCAGCAGCCTGGAAGGGCAGGCAAGGGGGAGGGGGACGAGCAAGCGGCCATGCCAGGCCACCATACCAGGTCACTTGCCCTCGGCATTGGGAGGGTGCTTTTCCGGAAACGACTCCCTGGAAAAGCACCTTGTCCCCATGCCGATGGGGACAAGGGCCTCTTCCCCACAACCCTGACCCAGTGGTGGTGCGGGTCTGTGGGCAGGGGGCTCATCTGCATCTGGGTACCCCCTTTCACAAAGGGGGCACCCAGATGCCACCCCCCCCCTTGTGAATGAGTAAGGGGTACTTGTATCCCTACTCATTCACTAAAGGGTTAAAAAAATGTAAATGAACACACAACATCAATAATTTTAATTGAACAAAAAACTCCCCGATGCAATGTTTATATATCAGACAAGGATCTAGCATGAATTGGTGGGGGGGACCCCATGCTGTTTTTTTTTTGTTTGTTTGTGGTGTCAGAAATTAAAAAGCAACAAAGTAAACATGTAATGACACTTTTCTGCAATGAATCATAGTTGACAATGATCATTTAACTCATCCAAAATTAACAAAATTCGGATTCATTCGAATCCGAATGGCGAAACGAATTGACTTTCAGATTCGAAACCCAAAAAACGAAAACATCTGAAACAAAACAAAACTAAAATAATTTTTCGCTGGCTTACATGTCTAGTAATGAAGGAAAAAAGTATTTACTGTGTCAAAAAAAAAAATATTTTTTAATTTTATGTGCTGCTTTCGTAATAGGTAAATGGTTCCAAGGACTTCTTTACGAGTTCACAGGCAGGGGCTTGCAACCTGCCCTTTTGCAGATAACAACTTACATTCTCAAACCTCTTTTCTGTGGGAACCAAATGCATGAGAGAACCATTGCTTTTCAGACTTCACTGTTGTACTGAGAGGGCAACCCATACTTGTTTTGAGCTCCTCTAGAAACACTGTCCCAGTGCTGAGAAGTGTTATAATGGGAGTGGTTGGGCATACGTTTACTAGACTTCTGGTTATAGGGATAACATGAAAGTGAATCAGACATAGCTTTTTTCTTTTACTACTGAAAAACAAAAACACACAAAAAGGGGAAACCTGAAGGTGTAAAGTTTAAGATTGCAGCAGTGGATTGGGCAAACTGCAAATGGAGCTGGTTTTAAGTTTCTTCTCATCGCTATCGTGTTCTAATATCTGATATCATCTTTGTGATGAATCCTTTAGAAAAGTGTTATAGTGTTATAGGGTATGGATCCCCAGTGATTGGTGTACATGTAACATACAGGGGTACAGGTAATATACAGGGGTACAGGTAACATACAGGAGTACAGGTAATATACAGGGGTACAGGTACTCCTAGAATGAGATCCTAATAGGTTGGACTTGATGGACTAATGTCTTTATTCAACCTCAAATACTATGTAACTATGCAACTATGTATGTAGTGGTTCATTTAAAGAAAGAAGGCATTTTTGAAAGCTTTTTTATTTAATCCAGTGACTGGTGTAGGGTAGTGGGCAGGATTGAGGATTGCATTATGCCAATCTGCCACTAGATGTCCCCATAGGCAATATTGAGTGACAATATTGAGTGACTGAGGGAGTCACTGTAGAGTCAAAGGTTGCTCTGCCCTGAGGTAACTTTATGTCCAGTTAGAGCCATATATATAGTTTTGGGCGGGGCAGCCGCCCAAGAAGGCATGTGTGCAGTTGGCACAGTAAAGACAGAGTGCTTTACAGAAGGCTGGTACATTCGAAGGCACAGGACCAGGCCAGCCACCATGTAGTCGCTGTGGATATCTGTCAGCTTCTCCTAAGGGGGAAGCAAAGGAGGCCAGGAGCAGCACTATCTGATGGGACTACTCGCATCACTGTAGGATGCAGGACTCTGGGCAATACCTCTCCATTGGCTCTGGGCTGCACCTCAACTGACCTTCTCTCTGTTGGTAACTATTCCTGTGTGCTTAAACAAGTAATGTACCATCATCAGTAAATGGGATGACTGAAGCCTGTTTTATATTGTACATAATTCTACATAAGAAGATGTTTAAGTAAAAGTTACAAAAGGCTCTCTGTGTGCGTGGACTGATCCTTCCCCCAACCTCTAAGATGGGGGGTTTCTCCAGGAAGCAAACTTGTGGTGGGCTGGACTGCTGTTCTAACGATTTAAAGGAGTGTATGTGGGGAGAGATCACAGCAATACTTGTCAGGCTATGCACAGGTTGCTCTCAGAGGTGGGCTCTGCCATGAAGGGGTGATGTGCTGTGATTGCGCTCAAGGCCTTGAATACCTTGAGAGCCCTGTGTTCAAAGTATTCCAGGGGATCTGAGCCACTACAAAGGTAGCCAGGGCAACAAAGATTTGATGGATGTGTGCCGCACTGCTGAAACACGTGAAATGTACGCAGACCAGCACGCCACCACTGCTAGGATCAATAGGTGGATCCCGCTATACAACACTGGTCCATAGCAATATTACATTATGCAGCAGGATCAAAAATCTCCAAAG